GGCCTAAAAACCCGCTACGTACATATGTAGCTTTAGATGTTCAAGTTAGTACAAATTCAATCTTCTATCAAAATCTATTTTTCATGTTTTAACGTTAAATACATAATTACAGGTTATGAAATTGTTAAATGCATTCAAAAAAGTTTAATGAGTATTGAATATTAATAGAAAAAAAATACTTATGAACTATCTAGAACCAACCAAGCTAATCTGTCATATATAATCTCACAAAGTCGAATTAAATATTATGCCATAAATAGTAAGGACATTTGGTTTACATCTGAAGAAAAAAAAAATTCCAGTTTTGTATAGCGATAGCGATAGCGCAAAAATATATAATCGTAGAAACTTATTGTATGAAATTAGCATTAGTCATAATTACATAATAACAAAGTATATTCGAATGATGTAATAATTTCATATAAATACTTAACTAGCTAATCTTCGTACTAAATTATTCTTGATTCTTGATTCTTGACTCTTGACAATGTCAAGAAAAAAAGCCCATAAATTCACTAATTATATTGAGATCCTTGATGATAAGGCTGATGAATGGAGGAATTATGCAATTTGTTGTGCATGCCGTGATACTGTCGGTAAACCAGCTGCCATACTTCAAAGGTTTCCAAATAAAAGTGACAGAGTAAAAAATCACCTAAAAAAATGTAAGCATTTTATTGAAGAACAAGGTGGTATAGAAATGGCGTTCAAAATATTAGATATAAAGTTTGTAGAAGCAGGTGAAAATTCAGATACGGATGTTAATAACAAAAGGCCTCGCATAGAAAAAATGAGTAAGTGCTGTATATTTAAATCTAATAAATGCTGTAACTTAATAATTATAATTTTATAATAGTCAAAAAATTTTTTTTTAGAAAAAGAATCACTAGACAAATTTGTTGTTCGGCCTTTATCAAAGAATGACAAAAGAAACTAGAAACTCTCTTGGTTCGTGCAACAGTCTCTGCAGGGTTTTCATTACGATGGGTGCAAAATAAAGAAGTTCGGGAACTATTTGAATTTTTGAATCCTACTTTAAAATTACCCGGACGTCAAACCTTAGGTGGAAGAATTTTAAATAAAGAAGTAAAGAGACTTGAAGATAACATGGTGATAAAGCTTAAAAATAATTCAGTTGGACCAACGCTTGCCTTTGACGGTTGGACCAACGTAATTAACCAAAATATCATGGGTGCAGTTTTTATTACACCTGAAGGAGAAGTATTAGTCTGGAAGGGAATGGATATTAGTGGTGAAAGAGAAAGGTGGAGAGAAGTTATAGAAAAAATCGAATTAATGTTTAGTGAAATTATTCAAATGGGAGTAAAGCTAATTGCAGTCGTTTGTGATAGTGCATCTTCTTATGCCGCTGCAAGGTACATAATAAAATCGTATAGTACTTACATTAATATTTTTTTTAAAATAATTAACTTTTTAATAAATATAGACGTCGTCTTCGATTAAAATATATTGATATTTCTTTTTTGCCATGTTACGCCCATCAAATGAATTTATTTGTGGGCGAAATTTTTAAAAAATCTATTAAGTTTCGTCAAACAGCAGCCAATGCAATTAAAGTGGCAGTTTATTTTCACTCAGCGCAACATAAGTATTTTATTGGTAAATTAAGAGATCTACAGAATGAATTTTATAAGAAATATATTTCATTAGCGGTTGGTAATGATACACGGTGGAACAGTTATTTGGAATGTTTTTGTTCATTACTTAAGTCGAAGTCTGCATTAAGGGTATAAAAAAATCGTACAGTATTTGATTTTATACTGTTATTTAATATATACTTAAATGATTCTTTTTTTATATTAGACACTCGCTTCTAAGTTTGACCCTCTTGAACCGTTAGATGATGATTCTTTATATCTTCCAGAAAATATTACATCAATTCTTTTAGATGAAAGTTGGTGGCACGTATTACAAAAACTTGCTAACATTTTAACGCCTTACGGTATTATTATCGATCTTCTTCAAAAAGACAAGGCACGTTTGCATGAGGTCTTACATGGATTTGGTTATTTCATAGAATTTTGGAAAAGATATGAAGATTTGGAATTTGGCCAACAAATGTTAAATAGATTAGAATCAAGATGGAGAAAATGGGAACAACCGCTTCTTCTCTTGTCTTGGCTTCTTCATCCAAATTACCAAATGAAAAAATTTAAGTCTAACGTAGCTAACCTTAATCATGTATATCTTAGTAAATGGCTTATATATTACTATGAAGCTTGGTCACATAATAAGTCTCGATCGATTTTACGTGAGTATGAAAATTTTCGAAGGGGCGCTTTTCCTTTTGATGATCAGTCAATTAATCATTTCAAAGATAGTGTTTTTGAGTTTTGGTCCTGGGCTACACCGACTGCAAAAGAGCTTGCATTTGTAGCACAAAGAATATTTGGAATTTGCGCAAATGCAGCTTCAGTAGAACGTTTATGGTCATGTATGGGTTTTCTTCATACGAATCGATGATGCCGGTTGCATGTAAGTATAGTATAATTGTGTATTTATCAAATAATTTTGGGTTAATTGCTATATTTATTATATAGTATAAAAAAGTATTAAATATGAGTAAGCTTCGGGCCTCTATTACTTATCAACATCAGTTGGATGATAAGGAGTTATGTAATTCTGAAGAAGAATCCGAAGCCGAACTCTCTTCTGATATTGAAGAACTCTCTTCTGATATTGAAGAACAACCATCTAATAAAAAAGATCGTGAAGAATTGAAAGGATTGAAGGATGATGAGGACTTAGACAAATATGTTGAAAATTTTAATGGTTTTGTTGATGAGTGGGAAGAATTACTTGATCAAGAAGAAAAAGCGCAAAGAGATGCAGACGCCGATTTGAATTATGATCTAGAAGTGGATATCGATGATTATCTACTTAATCAAACACATCCTGCAATGGAAATTGAAGCTAAATGAAATATTTGTGAAATATTTATTGATGGTTTGGACGTGCCTTTCAATATTAAATAACTGTTATTTTTAAGTTTTAAATAAAGTTTTGATCTTAGCGAATAATTTGATTTATAATTCATGAAATCTAAATTACATTGAACTTTTACGTACAAACAAATTTTTTTTAAAATATACTGCATCATTAACAAAAATATTTAATTCTTGTTGATGTGAAGCATTTTCGCTAATGATTTCATCAGTTGAATCCATTGCTATTGCAACAAAAATTTAATCGGTAAAATCGTTGTAAAAAAAAGCCGGCACAACTAAAGTTGAAGCTTCGGCAGTTATCGAATTGAAAAAAAATTTATTAGCTTTATAGAAGACAGCGTATATTATGAGAATTAGTAAGAGTACGCTCAAGCATTTAAATTTATAAATATCATTATTGATCGTGATGCTTGAACGAACAGGAGGGACGTTGATGTTACACAATTGTTTTTACACACGGTGTGAAGCACATAAAAAAAATATTTTACAATACTTAATCGGACTTAATCAGTCAGTTAGTACATGTTATGATTATAATCCAACACCATTTTTTATTATAGAAAAATGATGTTGGATTATAATCATAACATGTACTAACTGACTGATCAAGTCCGATCAAGTATTGTAAAATATTTTTTTTATGTGCTTCACACCGTGTGTAAAAACAATCGTGTAACATCAACGTTCCCTCCTGTTGCTTGAATGTGCGTTATTATGAATATTATTTAATCAATTGATTGATATGCTTAAGAATGCTCTAACATAGTGTTATAAATAGTTGAAAAGTATTATATATGTAGGTAGGTAGGAAAATTAAAAAAGAATTAAACCAATATCACTTGATTTATTAATTATTGGTTTAATTTTCTTGAATTTCGTCACCCATCTATAATATTAGCTTGTAGGCAACTTATAGTAATTCTGCAGTTGCTATTTCGCATTGAAAGTCTTGAGTATTAATCATAGTACAGTACTTAATATACGTGTTTGCGAATAGTTTAAATAAAGATTACAGGTTCAGCACTTTTGCAACGTAAATAATCATTATTAATAAATTATTATATATTTTATATAGATTAATTTTATTCTATATATACTATATATTTGGCCAAAC